TGGCCCTTGCCTGTCCGACGGTGTTCCAGTCGTTTTTCGCCATCTCACTCGCCTTGCACTGTGGCCTGCTCATTGCTTGGCCCGCATTGTGGCACTGTGGATGGTGGTGGATCATGGCTCCTTCACTTCAGTTCGCCAGCTGGGTGTCGCCAAGACCAACGCCGCACCAGACCAAAAGAGCGCGCGCTGGCTGGACCTGGTCGACCTGGCGAGCCTGGCTGGCACTTGTCGTTGGCGTCTCAAATCCTGCCAGTCCCTAGTCCCCCCAGGTCGGTCGGCTGCCCAGAAGTCCCAGTCGGTCCCAGTCACCAAACTGCCTCCTCCTCCCTTCTCGCCGTCTCGTTTCCCTCTTCATCGCCCTTTCCCTCGCCCCCCGTCTCACCACCGACGACCTAAAAATCCCCGGCGCCGACGACGACGGTAAGAGAACCTACCCCAACCACCACAACAATTTCTCTTTTTTGTCCCGCATCATATGCTGCACCATACATCAACACCAAGCCCGTGTCCATCATCTGTCTGCTGCACGCTTCGTCTCGACTGCATTTTAACACATACACGTACAGATTGAGCTGCATTTCAAGTCGCCCCCCCCCGACACGCTCTCCAACATCACTAAGCAGCCTGTTCTTCGGCACGCACGCCCCTCTCGATTAATCATTACCAGCCTGGTCCCGACCGACCCTTAAGCCCAGCATCCGGTCTGTAACGACCGTCTACAAAAGGAGAACACATCCCGCCGAAGAGTGAGTCAAAAATTCTATCATCATCTCCCGTCAGACGGGTCGTCGTCCCCAACGAACGAAGGGAGGGTTGCTACACGCATTGTGGTGGTTCCACTCAGCTGCCGCCATGTATCGGTGAGCTGATTGTTGGCTCGCTCGCCAACGAATCTGCCCTTGCTGGCCGCCTTTGCCCGCTACTCACCTGAATGCACACACCTTCGCCATCGGCCAACGACACCGACTTGATAGGCTGGCCGATAGCTCCGACAAACTGTTTGGCATGATGACGGGAGGGGCATTACCATAATCCCCATCAACAACGTCGGCGTCACCAAGGCCATTGTTGGACGTGTCCGTGTCGACGTGACTGTCTTCCAGGGCGATGCACGATGTGGAAATGTCTACTGAGGTCCCTGGAAATGTTGCCGTCATCATTGCCAAAGGGGCCAACTCTCGGTGCAGTCGAACAACCTACCGTGACCGGGCCGGGCAAGGACTCCAGCAGAAACACCTGGGACGACACCGGTCATTTCTTGATAGCTCAACTTTCGACATCATTACGTATGCGTGCCTTGATGACCTTTATACTAACTGCTCTCCACCGGGTACAGTTTCTGATCTTCTGGGATCCGTCCTTCTCCCTCAACAACCGCAAAAATGACTACCATGGTATGCTCATCCCCGTCAATCCCAACCATCACGAAGCGTTCCATTTTGCTAACTGAAAGGTTAGGATCTTCGTGTCGGTAACAAGTACCGGATCGGTCGCAAGATCGGCTCTGGCTCTTTCGGTGATATTTACCTCGGCACCAACATCATCTCCGGTGAAGAGATTGCCATCAAGCTCGAGAGCGTCAAGGCCAAGCATCCCCAGCTTGAGTATGAGGCCCGCGTTTACAAGTCTCTCGCCGGTGGCGTCGGCATCCCCTTCGTCCGCTGGTTCGGCACCGAGTGTGATTACAACGCCATGGTCCTTGATCTCCTTGGCCCCAGTTTGGAGGATCTTTTCAACTTCTGCAACCGCAAGTTTTCTCTGAAGACTGTCTTGTTGCTTGCCGATCAGCTCATCTCCCGCATTGAGTACATCCACGCCAAGTCGTTCATTCACCGCGATATCAAGCCCGACAACTTCCTCATGGGCATCGGCAAGCGTGGCAACCAGGTCAATGTTATTGACTTCGGCCTTGCCAAGAAGTACAGAGATCCCAAGACTCACTTCCACATCCCTTACAGAGAGAACAAGAACCTTACTGGCACTGCCCGTTATGCCTCTATCAACACCCATCTTGGCGTCGAGCAGTCTCGCCGTGACGATATGGAGTCTCTCGGCTACGTCATGCTCTATTTCTGCCGCGGCTCTCTCCCGTGGCAGGGCCTTAAGGCTGCCACCAAGAAGCAGAAGTACGACCGCATCATGGAGAAGAAGATGACCACTCCCACCGAAGTTCTTTGCCGCGGCTTCCCCAACGAGTTTGCCATCTACCTCAACTACACCCGCTCGCTCCGCTTCGATGACAAGCCGGACTACAGCTATCTGCGCAAGATCTTCCGTGATCTGTTCGTCCGCGAGGGCTTCCAGTACGACTACGTCTTCGACTGGACCGTCTACAAGTACCAGAAGAATGCCCAGGCTATCCAGCAGGCTGCTGGCAACTCTAGCCAGCCCCAGCCCGCGGATTCCAAGGAGGCGGCCCAGGCTGCTGCTCGTAAGGACCCTCAGCAGGCTCTGAGGAGCGGATCCAGGAAGCCCATGACCGGCGAGACACCTGAGACCAACCGTGCCGTCGGCGGTAGCGACAGGATGTGAGTTTGCCAGCCTAGCCCTACATTCCTAGTAAGGAATCTTATTTCCTTCGAGTTTGGTGTACTCAATAACGCTGGCCGGAGGTAGAATGCTGACATAATGCTGACGTTCAGTTTGCGATAATAGGCTGCGCTCGGCTGCTAAAGGTCAAGGCGCTGGCTCCGGACATGTGGCCGGCAGGTACCGTCCTATGGAATGAGACCGCGGATGCTCGCACATGGTATCTACTTGGAACAATATTTTCGGCGGGTTGTTGGAGTAGCAGATTGCGCATCAGTCGAATGGTTTGATTCCTGCACCCACCTCTCAGTCAGCAATGTCACTGAGAGCATGGATGGAGTGGAAGCGGATGGCTGTACCTGGCCAGCACCAACGACCGATGCATCTCCTCGACCAACCAGACGGATTACTTGCGACAGATTGCTTCTCTTCGTTCTTCGACATCTCTATCAGTTACTGCCCTTATTCATGGCTCGGACGGTTCTTCGGTTTATGGCAGCAACACAGTTCGATTCTCAATCGAATCTGCTTTGCTGCTCTTTGACCGGGAACCTTACGAACGGCATGCCCAGTATCTCGGATTTCCGGGGTGCTGAAGTTGGAGACCTTGGCCTTTTTCTACGGGTTGAGGTTCAAAATGCCGTCGAAATTGCAGCAACGGTCACGAGATACGGCTTGATCGAGACGGGTCATTCATGGCACAAGTCTCATTCGAGTCATGTCGTTGCAAGATAACAATAAGCATCTTCCCAGTCGGCATCCCGTTTCCCATTGTTTTGTTTTCATTTATTGTTATGCACGATTTCCTTTTGGTGTGTCATTTCTCTCGCATCGGGTCTCGCTTGTGGGGAGGCATTAGGGGACGAAGCGTTACACCTTTTTGCGAAAGTCATATACATCACTCGTTGGTCAGTTGGTATTAGCTTGGTATCATGTAGCAGAGTTCAGGTCACGGGGTGGTTATTGGTTTACGGCATCCATGTGCCAAAGGTTCCGCCCAGTCGATGGAGATTCCGTGACGCGGCTACTACCTAGTGACACGGCGAGGTCTTGCCAAATGAGATCGGCTGGAAGCTCTATGGTGGGCAAACAAAGATAAGCCTCTCAGCTCGGTTTGACGATTCCTGGCATGGCTCTCCCTTACGGCACGACGGATATGTGGTCACGACCTCGTACCCAAACCGACAATTTCACGAGCAACGCATATGGAGAAGGGCATCATCTAGCCGCGATGCTTTCATGGGAGAGCTTTGACCTTGGGATACTCCTGGGAACTGGCTGTCATCATGGAGACAAGACGGAAACGACTGGTATTCACCATGTGGGAAGAGCTCGGGCAACGTAGAATTCAAGCTAGTTCTCCTAATACAGGTTTCATATCTTAACCCTTTTGGACTGTCGCCGACGTTGTGTCAAATGTGCTTATACCTTCCATGAGGAAGATAACCGTCCTGTTCTGCCGTTACCTAATATGCTTTTTTGTCCAAATGGGGTTATGAACTGTACGTAAGCTGTGCTGGTGAAGCCATAGACTGCTCAGCCTTGATTACCAGCATCCATGTACGGGCTGGCCGAATTGGCCCGAGAAAGCCAAACAGCGGTGTCTGAAAGAGGCTGTACTACCTACGTCACACCTCCGGCCCAATCACAGCATTTGAGATCTTACCATGGCATGAGGGCATGTGTACCGTGGTGACGGAAACATGAGAAGAAGAAAAAGAGAAAAAAAAAGAAAAGATGGGATGTGAAGAAGAAACAGCAGTTCTAATGGTTCGCAGCTTCTGGATGTAGCTGCCCTGAATGCAATTGTTACTCATATAGTATTCTAGCCTGCTTCAACCTTCCAGCACTTCAAGACTCTTGAAGCGCTTTGCTTAGCTACATTATCGCCGGAACTATCCAATTGCGTAACATTTTAAGACTAAAAGAAACCACAACACTTCGACTCAAGAACTCGGAGGCCTTACTTGGAAAACCTACGCCTAGAACTATATTTCGTCCCGCCCATTGGATCGTTGGATCTGACTGAACTTTCGTCTCGTCTTGGATCACTCGAACGATACTGCAGGGAATCAAGACATTTTGTCCCAGCCAAGCCACACTCGGAACCCCACTTGACGATACATAGCTCAACAACTTTCTGGATCAGCCGATATATGACAAAGAAGTTTAACGTTTTCGTGCGAACATTACTTAAACGCAACGTACAATTTACTCACGAGACATTTGTTGTGCTCCGGAGGATTCGGTTCTAGACTTTACCTGGTGCATATCGATCGATCGAGCATACATATACATATACATATACATATACATATACATATACGTACATCAGACGTTGCGTGTGCTTGGCATATTCGGGGCGCTTTTTCTCCAACAACCCGCATTACGCCACGGTCACAAGAAACACCAACACCAACAGAAAGCAACAGCCGTCGTTCTCCGCGACCCACCGCGATCGCGTAAAAACAATGACGCCCTCAACCATTGACCTCTTCATCCTCACTTTCAACTGCGCAAAGAACCTCATCAATGTCGCGGTCTGGGCGGCGCACTTGAAGGCCGCGCTGTCGGCACGAGGTGCTGCCGGGAAGGGGACTGGAAATGGAAATGCGTTACCAGATTTGGTCGTTTTGTGAGTACTCAAGTATCTCTGCCTACATTCATGTTATGACAGTTGCTCACAATTTCATCCAGCTCCGTCCAAGAAGTAGCCCCTTTGGTATACTCTTTCCTTGGCCCTTACTTTCTCAACCCGTACTACGCTCGGTACGCAGATGCGCTCAACCTCGCGGCTGAGCAGCTACTTGAACAGGCGGACAACGATGATTACGGGGCGGGAGGAAGCAGTAATGGTGCCCTCAGTCAAGGTGATTACCCCTACACCCTTGTCCGGGCCAAAAACGTAGGGATGACAGCCATCCTGCTCTTCGCCCGCGACCCCTCCAAGATCACGCAGATCAAAGAAGCAGAGTGCGGATTTGGCGCCGCGGACATGGGCAACAAAGGCGCGGTAGGGTTGCGGATTACTTGGAGCGATGGCAAGGACACGACGATAACGACGACGGGAGAACCAAAGACGACAGAACTCACCTTTGTGGCGACGCACCTGGCTGCCATGGAATGGAACCTCAAGAAGCGCAACGCCAACTGGCACAGCATCGTGTCCGGTCTGACGTTTGCTAACCCGCGTGAGGTTCTGCCCAAGGGCGAGTTCCCAGCTGAGAGCCGGGAAGCGAGGGCGACGCCGGATAGGTCTGGAGCGGGGGACGTCGCGCCTGTCATGCCTAGGGGTAGCAGCTCAGCCGACGCCAACGACGATGATGCCGATCTCGCGTACGGAAACGACGACGACTCGGACGCCCAACCTCTCCTAAGCTCAAGCAACTCCGATTCCAAATCCAAATCCAACAACGCCTCCGCCCTCCTCCAATCCATCTCCATCTTCAAACCATCCTCCCACCTCTTCCTAGCCGGCGACCTCAACTACCGCATCAACACCACCACCCCTCCCCCACTCGCCACATACCCTTCCTTCGACCCTTCCTCCGCCAACCATTTTTCGAACTTCCTTCCGCGGGACCAACTCACCCAAGAGCGTGAAGCCGGGCGAACCATGCACGGCCTTTCGGAAGCGCCCATCACCTTCGGGCCGACGTACAAATACGACGTGCACCCCCTCAGAGGGGAGGCAGTCAACGAGGCGGCAGTCAAAAGGGGAGATAAGGTCAATGGGATTCCCGAAGTGCCGTGGCGGTTTGCGAGCCATCGCTGGCCGGGGTGGTGTGATCGGGTTTTGTACTTGGATGTGCCTGGTTGGGTTCGCAGAAACAAGGATGTTGAGGTCGAGGTCGAGGTATATGACTCCCTACCCGTCATAGAGACTTCGGATCACAGACCTGTGTTTTTCCGGGCTAAGGTGCCGGTTTTGGGGGAGGAGGAGATGAGGTTACCTTTATCTTCACCAAAAGATGTGAGGGTGGTGGAAGAAGAAGAAGAATGGAAAAAGGATCCCAGGGTGTCGATACCAGTACCTGTGAACGTGTATGCTTGGGAGAGGAGGGCGGCGGCGAGGAGGAAGGAGGTGATGGTGGGGTGGACGGCGTTCTTTTGGAGTACCAAGGAGGGAGCGCTGGTGTTGGCTACGTTGTTGGTTATGGGTGTTGGGAGTTGGTGGCTGTTACGGGACTGGTAGTAGAGGAGAAGACGGCAGGGTTGAGGATGATGGTTATGATGATGGATGGATGGGACTAAATGGGCGGTTCGGTTCACTGGGTTTTGCAGATTCTTGCATATTGGATATGGTGATATAGACACGGAGCAATTGTGAACGTCTTGCTGGTTATGGTCATCCTAATGGTTTTGGTATAGAAGGATATACCTACACGCTTTTCAGGGTATGGACAGAGGTAGCCAGTTATTCTTGCAAAAGAAGATAGACCCCCTTGCTTCAAGGCTTCTGCGCCCCTTTTTATCTTGGTATATTACTCGATATGCATCATTATCATCTGTATCGAAAGAAGGCTTACGGAGCAAATATTTCTTTCAAGACGTTCGAATTTCCATCCGAGCGTAGCCTCAATGTCCACATGTCCGAAGCAGGAAATTTTCTAGAAGAAAGAAAAACGAGGCACCGAGGGTCTGAGCAACACGAAACGAGTCAGCGCCCTCGTATCAGAAACATGCACACGCATGAGTGGACAACATCGCCCTTTTTCGTTCAACACGACCGCGCCACACACACACACACACACACACACATCGGACACACTAGATGATCGGATATCGTGGCTCCGTGGGTAAGGGGAGTTTTGACTTTTTGCTTCACCCCTTGGTCAATGCTGTGGTTGTGGTGCTGTTGGAGAGGTTCTGGAACACTGTCACGACTGGGAAAGGCCGCCGACGAGCACGATGAACTCGATCGAAGCACGAGATGCCAAGAAATCCGACTGGATACCTTTTCTGCAGTTTTTCTATGTAATCACAACACTCCACGATCTTTTTCCTTTCTGTTCTTCCGATTGTGGTGTTGAGTAGTAGTTCTTGGCTCTTGGCGGACAGCCCCGAAGACATCAAGACACAGTCTTTTTTGGATAGTATTGGAGATTGACGGCTTATTATTGTTGCCAACACCGCCAACGGGGTTATCACGCGCACGATACCAAACCGGCTTTTACCTCGGACTGAATGTTCAGTTAGTTCAGTCTGTTCTAGTGAAATACGACGAAATTCCCCGTTTTGGCAAGTCACCGCGTATGCATGTCATGGTGTTTTAGGTAAGCTCCGCAACTATCGTTCTGGGGGAACTGCCCAGGAGACGGAAGACAAGACCCTGGAGATCCGTTCGGCGCACTCAACGAAAAGCTGCGGCAACCAGCGTGTCACACGATGACGGGAACGACCAGCGTTTAGCCATTACAGGAGATTTCAGGGGCAGGTACAACGGTGCTGCTTCCCTTCCATCTCACTCATGAAGCATGGCAGAAAGTATGAGACCTTCGGACGGAAAATCTAAAGGAGGCACGGACGGGAACGGAAGGTACACGTACAGGTCACAGGCGTTTCGACGGTCACAAACAGGAACATGGCAGCCGCCACTCTAACGTTCCCGTTCGTCAGGCGCCGTTGGATCTTGCTCCATATCTTGGATTTTGGTCTCGTCCTTTTCAGCCCTGTCCAACGCTATCAAGTATTTTACATAAGACAGCAGAATCTGTTTGGAGATCTTTTGACGACGACATCTTCCAAGAGAAACATATCGAGATTGACATCGACATCCCCTGTATCTTTCTGTACACTGACGCAGTGCAAGAGAATGTAGGCTCCTCTTTGGACCCTGGACTGCCTGAGGAAACCCCGCAATTACGATTAAAACCGGGTCGTGCGGCTGTTTTAGACGCTGGGGGAGGGTCCTGGCAGAGAGTATCCCTTGACAATTACGGAAATATCTACAACCGTCGAACCGGTTCTTTCCTAGTGTAGATTGAAACTGCCCTGAAGAACCGATCCTTCACGATGTAATAGCATGAAACTGGAAGTTGGTGATAGGCAGAGAGACTTCGAGGTCTGTGTTTTCCTAACTGGTCTCCGAGTGCTCAGTTTACCGTGCATCGTCGTATCCGTTAATATATTATTCCGTGTTAGTCACTGTGTTCGTCACTCAAAACTCACCCGGTCTGGCAACCTCTTGTGACAAGAAAAGAAAACACCTCACAGGGCAGGAATAAAAAAGGAAAACGCGGGCCGCGCTCTACCTAACAAATTCAGCCTTCGTCAAGTTCCGGGTCCCGTCTCGAAATTGTAAAAGACGTGATTCGCTGTGATTCGCCGCCGGTCGGTCCGTCTTGTCCAGAAACCGTCTTCAGGGCGCCATTCAGGGCAATCCAGGTCCACGAGATGTCGCGCAGGAACTGGGGTCTTTGCAGAAACCAACGTCATCCCCGCCGTCCTCGTTCCCACCACAATGCCCACACTGCCCGCAATGTCCACGCCCCTAGGTCTCATCCCCCACTACGAAGCGCGTGAATCACCGCAGAGTGCCTGGCAGACAGTGAGGAGTCTCCCGTCTTCTATCCTCATCCGCTGGGAGAACGGTTGGACCTGGATAAAAGTACGGTAAGGTAAGGTAAGGTACGCTACCGTACCTAGATAGGTAGGCATTCGATGTCGAGATGGGATATGAAGTGGTAATGGATTCGCGGGCGTTGTCTGTTCACACCGTTCATACCCATGCCAACGGGCCTCTAATTCATGCCTGCTTTCCATAGTCCCGCGATTGTTCCCGTCAGTGACTCCAGTTCCCAGCTTCCGTTTTCTATATTGCTCTTCGTCACTGACATGCCGCTGGGCCGGATGGGACCCGACTTCTACCCGAGAAACAACTTATCTTGTCAAAAACCCCGCGATACCGCAACGTCTTTTCCCGTTCTTGCACTCTGTCCCCCAATTCTTTAACTTTGCGCCCGCCCCAGCCCAGCACTGCAACGATTTGCCATTGACTTTGCCCGACATTACTAGCGTGTGGCCCACAGCAATACCCATCTCGACACGCACATAGACATACGTCTAGACACCGCGCTCGACAACATTAACCCCTGATGCTATTCGCCGACTACACATACTTATCTGTATATCCCGTCCCGACTTCTTCGTCTGATCCGCCCTCTTGAACGGTTGCGGTTCTGGACTTTTTCCCTTCGGCCCTTCTTCCGCCCCTGTCAGACTCGCATAATCTGGGCGGCTTGATACCGAGTACACTGCTATCACCTATCTCGGGAGAAACATCACGAGCGGAACAGCAACAACCTGGCCACGCTCGGCACTTTTTACTTTACCCCTCGCTTTACCTACATTTCCACCTCCACGGTCCTCCTCAAAATACAGCCATCATAGGGACTCTTGTCGATACCCACGATCTCCCCTTCTCGGACGAATCCAACAGCCGAAACATAGCTGCCGCTTTCCGAATCACTCACTGGTCTGGATCCAACATGGCGGCCACCGTCGCCTCGTCACACTCATTTGGCGGTGGGCTACACCCACTGCAGGCAAAGGGGATACTTGCAGCCGCCCAGCAGCGCCAACAGCAGCAGCAGGCGCAGTCGCAACCCCAACTTCATCCCTGCATGCTTTCGCAGCACAACTCTTACCAGAACGACCAACGCCGACATGACCCATCACAAACGCAACAGAATAATAATACTGGCGGTGGATTCGAGATGGCCACGCGCAAGCCCCAGCTAAGCGACTTTCATCGCATAAGGACATTAGGAACCGGTACGGTTGAAAAACTTTCATCCAATGCGCTGCCATACGGACCGTATTGCTAACCACTTCTAAACGGTCCATAGGCACCTTTGCCCGTGTGGTACTCGTCCGACCAGCCAATGGCACCGAGATTGACCGCCAAAAGGTTTACGCATTGAAGATTCTAAGAAAGACCGAAGGTTAGTTTTGCTTTGAATAAGCAATACCGGGAGTCGGGATAATAACACATGGCTACAGTGATCAGACTAAAACAGATCGACCATGTGCGGCACGAGCGACAGATCCTCAAGGATGTAACGGGCCACCCGTTCATCACCAGTCTCCAAGCCTCCTTTGCCGACCGCGACTTCCTCTACCTTTTGCTCGACTACATCCCCGGCGGCGAGCTGTTCACATATTTGCGAAAATACCGACGGTTCGACGAGGAGATGGCGCGCTTCTACGCGGCCGAGATCGTGCTCGTGCTCGAGTACCTCCACGAAAAGCAGGGCGGAATAGCTTACCGGGATATGAAGCCTGAGAACCTGCTGCTGGATGCGGACGGGCACATCAAGCTGGTCGACTTTGGTTTTGCCAAGCGGTTGGGGTACAAGGACGATGAGCACCCGGTCGAGACCTACACCCTTTGTGGCACTCCAGAGTACCTTGCGCCCGAGGTCATCCAGAACAAGGGCCACACGACAGCGGTAGACTGGTGGGCGTTGGGGATTCTGATATACGAGTTCCTAACGGGCTATCCGCCCTTCTACCACAACAACCCTCTAGAGATTTACAGACAGTAAGTTGGCAACCTTTCAAACCACCGCCGAGACGGCATCGCTCGCTCGCAGTCACTAACACCCAACCCCTTATCAGAATCGTAGAAAAGCCCGTCCTATTCCCCGCCACACCCGAAATCAGCGAAGAAGCCAAGGACATCATCCGGTCTTTCTGCACGGTCGACCGAACTATGCGATTAGGCAACATGAGCGGCGGCGCGGCAAGGGTGAAGGCGCACCCGTGGTTTAAGGGCGTCGACTGGGAGGCCGTGGAGCAAAAACGGCACAAGGGTCCCATCATCCCCCACCTCAGTCACCCCGGCGACGCCTCGTGCTTCGACGTGTATCCAGAGCAGGACGTCAACAACGAGGCGTACACGGACGAGATGTTTGAGAAGTATGAGAAGTACTTCGAGGACTTTTAGTGAAGGGGCCTCGGATCGTCGGAGGGGTTGCTCCTGGAGTCGTTAGAGCGTTTGCTCGTCTCCAGAACAAGCGCCAAAGTTCTGGATCTTGAGCGGTTTCTGGGAAGGAGATTCAAAGGGGCTATAGGCCCAATGGGTAGAGGACAGTCGGGTATGATCGGTGGGATGGGACTTATGGTATAACGGTTGAAACTGATGTGGTGTCTACATTTCATTTTATTGCTCTTCGTCGTTCTCGAGGATTGAGAATCGACCGAACTGGAAAGAGATGGGAACGGAGTTCTTACAGGACAGGTATTGGGACGGCGTCGCGGGTCTGTCATATGTTACTTGATGCTTTATGCTTTTTATCATCTTATATCCCCCCTACCTAGCGCACCTTAGAGAGTGTTAGAGCTCTAGGTAGACACTTGACGTTGCTAGAGGGAAGAGTCACGAACGTTACACATAGTTAGTATAGGAAAAGATGGAATACGTTTGAATGAGTCTAAGGATTTGAATTTGATAGAGAATTGGACAGTACTTCATGTCTAATCTCGCCGCTCATCGGGAAGTGAGAAAGCAGGATACATCGGCTATGATGAAGGCAAGTTAAGAGGACGGGTGGAAACCTAAGTAAAAGGGAATCTCCAGCAATGCGCTAACGTCAGGCACCTCCGGTTCAGGTAGGGGGTGCCCTGTGCTGCGTCGGTACCTAGAAGGCCAGGCTAGGAAGCTGCCACCGCTGCCGCTGCTGCGAAGCGGTTGGCCCGCACGGGTCACGCAGCTGCATCATTGAAACACAGGGCAGACAAGTCCCCACACTGGGGTAAGGAAATACCTACACCAAGCAACGGACGAGGGCGGGAACCTCCATCGCTTTCAATCTCCATGCCTTCCATCCCACACTCGACTTGCCCGAGCCGCAAACATCATCTGAACACAGACCACTGCAGCACGTTGCCCATCCAACAACACCTTCACCCGACTGGCCTATCTTGATCTATTACAGAACACCTAAGTCCTGGCGAACATCACAAAACTGCCGGCGACTACGATATAGTGCTCGGCTAAATACCATAGAGAACGGAGCGACTGGAAGGCCACCCAACGACCACCACCGCCACCACTCTACACTACAACCCATTCCAGTTGCCATAACTTCAACCATATAAACGGAAACACATCCTACTACCCTTCGCTGCTCATCGACATCTACCGGTCGGAACTTACACTGCAAGAGCAACAAGTGGTTGCCGGGCGATGCCGCCAAGCTGAGCTTCCGATCGACCGTCATCAGCCCGCCAATCGTTCCGCTGCCCGCCGCTCGATACCATCATCTCCTACACGAACACGCACAGCTGCCTCGGGGCCTCTTGATGGCAGGGCCGTGAGCTCACACAACCACAGCAGCAATGTTGAACCTATCGAGCTTTGTGCAAAAGGCACAGCAGTTGCTCGATCCCACCCAGGGCCTGAACCTGACCGATTCCGACAAGAACCCGTCCAAGGCCTCCCTCTTCCAGAGCCAATTTCGGCTGCCCGACTCCCAACACCCGCTCTACGAGATCACAGCCGAGCTCACCATCCCTCCTTCGAACGTGACACAGGGCGGCAAGGACCAAGATAGGGGCTTCCACTACGCCGGGAAATTGCACCTTTCAGAACAGTACCTCTGCTTCTCGACCACGCCTTCGAGCTTCCTACAGTCAGCTAGCACCTCGACCTCCTCGGCGTTTACCGGTCAGACTCATGGCGGAGGACCCAGCGGCAACGGGTTCACCTTCCCGCTAAGCTCTATCCGCAGGGTAGAGCGCCTTCACAGTCAGAACTTCCAGGTAGGATAACCATTCATCCCTTCAAGATGATAGCAAACAAGGGTGCCGGGACCAGTGCTGACCATGGGATAATAACAGTTTGCTCTCGCGATAACAACATGGAACGGAATCAGCCAGGATGCCCCCAAGGAGAACAAGGACAAGAAGGAAGTGAGGGAACAACGGATAACAATCCAACTTGCCGGCACACGGGTAGCATGCGAGCGCTTCTGTGATGGTCTCAAGAAGGGGCTCCGTGCGGCCGTGGGGCACGTTGGAAAGCTCAAGAAGGTCATCGGAGAGTGCTACTCGGAATACCTGCTCCGACCTGAGGAACAGAAGAACGCCAACCCGCCTGACGCGGGGCTCGGCATGATCTTCCGATACCCTGGTGATCCCAAGAAGCTGCGAGATCGGGCAAAGATGCGCTTGTGGGCCGAATACCTTCGAGATAATGGCCGGAACGTGACCTTGATCCGCCAACCTACTTTCCACAAGCTCATCAGGGTCGGCCTGCCAAACCGGCTGAGGGGCGAAATCTGGGAGCTTACATCAGGTTCCGTCTATCTGCGATTAGAGAACCCGACGTTGTATGCCGATACGCTCGCCAAACACGTGGGGAAAGAATCGCTGGCCATCGACGAAATCGAAAAAGATCTCAACCGAAGTCTTCCGGAGTACCCGGGATTCCAGAGCGAGGAAGGTATCGGCCGGTTGCGCCGGGTTCTTACCGCTTACAGTTGGGTCAACGCCGACGTCGGTTATTGCCAGGCCATGAACATCGTCGTTGCCGCGCTGCTTATTTACATGTCGGAAGCTCAGGCATTCTTCCTCCTATCGACGCTTTGTGACCGGCTGGTTCCGGGGTACTACTCCACTACCATGTACGGCACTCTCCTGGATCAGAAGGTGTTCGAATCCCTGGTGGAGAGGACCATGCCCATCCTGTGGGAACACTTGGTGAAATATGATGTGCAGCTTTCGGTGGTTTCTCTTCCGTGGTTCTTGTCACTATACATCAACTCTATGCCCTTAGTCTTCGCCTTCAGAGTCCTAGATGTCTTCTTCGTCGAAGGCCCCAAGGTTTTGTTCCAGGTTGGCTTGGCGATTCTAAGAATCAACGGCGAGGAACTACTGGATGCCACTGACGACGGAGCCTTCATCTCGGTATTGAAGAACTACTTTGTTCGGTTGGATGAATCGGCACACCCCAAGTCGGAAAACCCAAAGCTGAGAGCCGTTACTAGGTTCCAGGAGTTGATGGTGGTGGCATTCAAGGAGTTCTCTGGTATCACACACAGCACGATCACGGAGCTCCGCCTCAAGAACAAGGACGCCGTGCTGAACAACATTGAGAGCTTTGCCAAGCGGACGGCCATCCGGAACCTGGGGCCGGAGAGCAAGCTTCTTAGCACCCAAGAGCTCGGTGCGGTATACGATAGGTTCTACGGTGTGCTGTACGAGAGGCAGCAACGGGATCTCCTTATCAAGCAGGAAGAGGTAAGGAGAGCCAGGAGCAACCGGATATCGAGAATCGGCCAAGCAGTAGATGAGGGGAATGTCGAAAAGGGGCGAGTTGGGTTGGGCCCGAGCACGAGCCTGATGGACTACGATGCCTTCAGAGAGTTTCTCGCGGGCATCGCCAAGTGGGCTGTTTCGGACTCCCCTACCCAGTCTCGCCGTGACACCGGTTCTAGCAACGGGGGAAGTTTCTACAACAGCTTCCGGAAGAACGAGTCTTCTATGTCTCCTTGGGGCAATGGTCCTGAACCAGCAGACCACGAGTTCCTCCGGAGGTTGTTCAGGAAGTGGGACTTTGATTCCAGTTCTGCGCTCACCCTCCAAAACGTTGTTACTGGCCTGGCTCGCATCAAAGGAAAGCGGGATATCATGGGAACGATTAACTACTTCTTTGAACTGCATGACGATGATGGGGACGGCAAGGTTGACCGGGAAGGCATATTGCGCATGTCCGAGGCTTTGCTCTTCCTGTCACGTCGAGGATTGGAGGGTGCGCTGGATCGCGCAACAGCACCTAACGGGATGATGACGGAGGGCATGGTGACCCCTGGAAATGACGTGCCTGATCAGTCTATTAACGAGAGATTCCTCGGGAGCGTCAGCGCATTCATCAGAAGATGCTTTGAGTACGCAGACCCAGATCATCCCAATAACCAAAACAGCCAGCAACCGGCACAACAGCAGACGGCGTCTCGCCAGGAAGATAACCTGATCGCCATTGATGATGACGATGCCGCTGCTGGCCTGGCAGACCCGGACGCCTTTGCTATCGGTGACGATGACGATGACTTTGACGAAGAGAACGACGACGATCTCCTAGCCATGGACTCCCCAACCGCCAGCCCCCGTCTAGCGAAGCGCCCCGACACCGCCACATCGAGCCTGCAACCGCCCTCGTCGCTACACCTCGACCCATCCACGGCCCCCTCCTCCATCTCCAACAACAACAACGACGAAGACCATCGCCGCCGCGTCTCGCGTCAGCAATCGGAAAAGGCCAACATCGCCCTCGATCCCAACAACCCGCTGCACATCACCCTTCCCACCTTCCGCATGGTCGTCCTAGCCGACGAGCTCCTCGAGCAATTCTTCGAGTCCTCCTTCCCCGTGCTCGTTCCACCTCATCGAGGGCATCAACATGTCCAGCGGCGGCGGGAACTCTTCGGGCAACAACACCGGTTCGTCGTCATCCTATGGCGTCGTCGGCGGTGCTATAGGGAACACCTTTTCCAACATCGGCTTCTTCGGCGGTAGCGTTGGTGCGGGCGGAAACAACCAACAAGGCGGCGGTAGTGGTGGTGCAGGTGGTGCCGGCCGCGGTCTAAGAGGCGTGTTGGACAATATCGTCACGGACGGAATGCGTGTCGCGGCGGAAGTGCGAAGGAGAATGGAGGAGGCGCAGAGGGAGTTGGAGAAGAATGCGGTGCAGGCCGGTGGACAGCAGCGGGCAGGGGCGAACCGTGATGACGAAGATGACGATGAGGATGACGGTGGGCCTGTTGAGGGCTTGTCGCTTGGTGGCGGGAACGGTGGCGGTGGTGGTGGTTCAGCTGCCGCAAGCGTGTCGGAGAGAAGTAGAGGGGGGGTGAGGAGTTCGGATAGGGATTTGTTGACTGGGGCGGATGCGGAGGCTAGCGATCCTACTGCTGAGGCTCAACTGCAACACGGTGCAGCTGAAGGGAGTGGAAGTGCTGGTGGAAATGGTGCCGGTGTGACAACGGCTAAGGTTGTGGGCGTCGAGTTTGACGGTTAGGAATCGTTGGGCAGGAGCGTTGCTTAACATGAGATGAGGGGCGGTATCAGATGAGGATGAGGTCGGGATGAAGAAGAGAAGCATATCAATATCTTGGGGGTTTTAACACAACTGTTGAGGCAGGGGCATCTTAGAGGTACACTTTATTTGCGGACCAGGTCATTTGAAGGGCGTAGCCGTATTTCGTCTTTTCAAGTCTTTTCAGTCTATCAGATCCACAGATTCTGGGAGTTTGGTTCATTGCGTGTCCTTTTGGTTGTCGTAACTGGTTAGGGGTCACTATTCTTAAGGTCTTTCTTGTCTACCTAAGCAGCTGCTAGACTAGTTTTAGGTGACTATTATATCGGTACCAGTCATGGTGTCCATGTTTTGAGTGACAAATGGGTGCCTACAAGGGATTAACGTTACAATCACTGTCACCAGCCAGCATAAGGAACAACTGAATCCAAACTGTATGAATCAAAAAAAAGAAAAATGGTATATTCATTTCACGCCATTTTAAGCACACCAAAGATCGCTTCTATATAATGCACTTCACTTTCTCTCTCATCCTTCTCTCCTTGTCTCTTTCCCCGTCCAAAACAAGCAAGCCATTTACTGGACAAACTCGCTCTTCTCGTTGACATAAAGGTCAACATACTCATCAACGGACATGGCCTCGAGCTCCTTGGGGTTCTGGCCAAGAGCGACGAGCTTCTCGACCTTGTCGGCGCTGAAGTGGGGCTCCAAGTGACGCTTGTACTTGGCGAGGATGTGGGGCTTGGCCTCCTCGCGACGGAGACGGTGGCCGAGGGGAGCCTCGACAACGACCTCATCGAGGAAGGTGCCGTCGTTGAGCTCGACGGTGAGACCGTTGGAGATGGTACGGAGGGCCGGGTCGTGGTAGTCAGCGGTGAACTGGGGGTCCTCGACGCACTTGATCTTCTTGCGGAGGGACTCGACGAGCTCAGAGGTGGCGGCCTCGGAACCGTCCGTGTAGTCGCCGGCGGTCAGGCGACCGAAAGTCAGCATGACGGAGCACATGTACTGGATGCAGTGGTCGCGGTCGGCAAAGTTGTCCATGGGCTTGAACTGCTTGTCGATGATGCGGATGCAGGCCTCGTGGGTGCGGATGGTCACCTCCTTGATGTCGGCGGCGGTCTTGCCCATGGCCTTGAGCTGGGCGTGGATCTTCTCAGAGGCCTCGACGGCGGTCTGCGAGTGGAACTCGGCAGGGTAGGAGACCTTGAAGAGAACGTTCTCCATGACGTAGCTGCCGTAGGGGCGCTGGAACTCGAACTTCTTGCCCTTGAAGAGGACGTCGTAGAAGCCCCAGACGGGAGCGGAGAGGACGGTGGGGACACCGGGCTCGCCCTTGAGGACCTTGAGGGCCAGGTTGACGGCGCGCTGGCAGGCGTCACCGGCAGCCCACGACTTGCGGGACATGGTGTTGGGGGAGTGGCGGTAGGTGCGGAGGGACTGGCCGTCAACCCAGGCCTGGGTGATGGCGTCGGCGGTCTGCTTCTCGTTGAGGCCGAGCATCTTGGAGACGACGGCGGTGGAGGCGACCTTGACGAGGACGACGTGGTCGAGACCGACCTTGTTGTACGAGTTGAGGAGAGCGAGGCAGCCCTGGATCTCGTGGGCCTTGATCATGCCCTCGAGAACATCGCGGACGGTGAACTGCTTGCCGTTGGCGAGGTTGCCGCCGGCCTTGTTGGTGCGGGTGATCCAGTCGGCGACGGCGAGGATGGCGCCAAGGTTGTCAGAGGGGTGGCCCCACTCGGCAGCGAGCCAGCAGTCGTTGTAGTCGAGCCAGCGGATCATGGCGCCAATGTTGAAGGCGGCATTGATGGGGTCGAGCTGGTAGGGGGTACCGGGGACCTTGGGGCCGTTGGGGACAACGGTGCCTGGGACGGTAGGACCAAGGAGCTTGGTGCACTCCTTGAAGCGGAGGCCCTCAAGACCGCAGCCGAGAGTGTCAAGGAAGACCCATCTGGCAGTGTCGAACTGTAGACATTGGTGGTTAGCATGTTGGTATTGTGCATTTTGGGGTATTTCGTCCGATGTATAGCCAGCTTCATCTCATGGCTCTTTTGAGATTGAGGCTTTTTGAGACGAATTGCCGGAAGGGGCGGAAGAGGAGACAACAAACTTACAGCAAGGTCAGAGTCAATGTTCTTGTTGAGGACATAGTCGGCAATGTCGGTGATCTCGGGGTCATAGCCCTTGTGGTGGGCGGGCATGGGCGTGACGCCGGGGGCGGCAGACTGGAGGGAAGCCATGGTAGAGAAGCTGCTGGTGCGGGTGTTGGGGAGAGCAGAGGTGGAAGTGGAGGAAGAGTTTTGGAGTCTGAAGGCAGACTGGAGACCGGCGGAGGATCTGGTGCAGCTGAGGTTGCTAACACGCTGGGATAGGCGCACTTGCTTGGACGCCTGGCGGAGACCGCGGTTGACAGCAGACATTATGGTGCTTTTATCTAAAGAAGATGAAGGAGAAAGAAGAAGAAAGGGAGGATGAGAGTGAGGTGGCCCGGAACAAAAAAACAACAACACACTTTGCAGAGCCAAGAGAGTTTTTATGTTTCTTTTCACTCCCCTCGCTCGGCTTAACACGCCGAGCCAACTACCAGCTGTGTACTGTACCTTCTCGGCCTGGGGACACTTGGCGCGGGGTTGACTAGCACTCCAACTCGGTTCGACCGTGGCCGCCGTCGCTCAGACGGAAGAGCTTGAATTGGTCGACCAGCTTTGTTTTACCGCGGTCTGCCGAACCTGTTCTCTCCACATTCGGTCGGGCGCTGGTTGGTGACTGGCTGAAGAGAGGCCAGTGTTGCATCTTGTGATCGGTTTTGCCAGAGGAAAGAAGATGCCACTAAGCCCAGAGAGGCATCTCAATACCACAGCGACGTTTCCCCTTTCACCGTCCGCCCATTGAGAAAAGATCGGCTAGGGAGTGAGGGTTATGTAAGACGGCTGAAAGGGCGACGGGATTGAGCCTCATCATCACGAGCCTCGTTGGACTTTTTTCGGCGTTGATATGTAAAATGTAGTGTGGGTATCCATCGAGGTTCTCATGGTGTTTTTGTTTGCTTTCACGCTTCTCCCATTTTTCAAAAGACAGAACACGAGTCAAACCCCCTTTCCACTTTCTCCTCGCATGCTTTTGCTATGTATTCCCCTCACAGCTCCCTACCGAACCCCCAAACTCTAATTACATATATGTATGTAGGGAACCAACAAATGTCCTCCACCCCCAAAACACGGGGCCCCTCCTTTTGCCATTCATCTTTTTCTCCATATGACGTTTGCGCCGCCAAAACCTCAAGGTTGTTCCCCTTTCTGCCCACAGTTGCCCACGCCGCCGACGGAGTCCTGAGGAGCTTCTGGGGCCTGTGGCTCTTTCCCCGCGCATATCTGGCATGTTCGCCCGCAGCCGCAGGCTGTCAAACCTGTCAATACGAGTCATATTCCTTGCTTTCCGTTTGCTTGGAGGCCCTGTGGCCTCTATCCCCAGCATCTCACAGTAATCTCGAGGGGCATTGCCTGCAATCAGCACAATTCAAGAGAGGGGGAATTTCCACCCATTCCACCCGAGTCCACCCAGAATTCCCCAGGCTTTACCCCAAGAGGTGGCCCATCTCCGCAGTGATGCACGGGCATATCCATACTTGACTCCATTCCCATCTCAATCTCCGCCCCCGTGAGCTCCAACAACTCCAGCAACTCCAGCGGCTCCAGTGTGTGGTTCCAGTTCCGTGGCGGGCCTGGGCGAGGGCGGAGCAACTACGGGGCCCCGAAGACGGAGCCGGCTGTTAGTCTCGGCGCTTTTTTGTGTGTGATAGCAATCATATGTACACTTGTACGTATCAAGATTGGGATGGTAGGATGATGAGAGATGGGTGGATGGCTAGGCTCGGCAAAGAAGGTGCGTGATAGCAAAGTTACGTAGCCCTCGGGACTGGAGAGTTTGCCATTCGGTTGATGGGAAGTTGCGAAATTGAGATGCCCCCTGGTCCGGGCAGTCATCGGTGCGACCGGCAAGATCATGATGTTTCATGAGAATGGCACATGACAAGTTGGGAAAACCAACAACAAAGGGAACGTGGTGATGTTATCTAGGCTATACCCCTGAGAAGGCCACAGCTCAACGCTTTGCAGCATCTTTCGCCGCCCCTTTTGCCATGGCTTCACACACGCGCCAAGCCGTCACGATCCGATGTCTCTCACTCTTTCGCAGTTTCACATATTCCTCCTCTCCTTGCGCCAGGCGACCCATGACAATTTGAGCCTCGATATCCGCCTTGCCTAGCTTCTCCAGCTCTCGGTAGAAACCAAGAAAGATGAAGCCAGGGGCTTCGAGGGCACCTGTCGTTGGCTTCAGTACCAGCTCGCCGAGACCTTGGCCGAATCCTTTGAGGAACCCGACTGTCCCGTCCTCCCGAGCGCCTGTGATGGGTCTGGTGAAAACACCGGAGAGACCGACCCAGAGGTTTTGGCTGAGTTTCTAGTGATGTGGTGAGCCTCTCTACTATCATAAGAACTCTGGTGGGCATGTGTAACTTACTCGTCCTGCAGCAATTATTCCGCTTTGCCAGCCATTGATGTCTCCCGAGATGTTATTATAAGGATGCCCATGAATTCGGGAGAAATCCCTGGCCAGGATTTCAGTGATGACGACGGGCGATATCTGGCTCAGATGACCCAAGACAATATTCCTCTGGACTCCTGAAACGGTATCAGGATTGAGGTCCGGCCGAGGCTTCGAAAGTCTCTATCTTGTGGAATGATACCTAGGTAGGGAAGCTGGTTACTGGAGGGAAAAGGCAAGATATTCAAGGGAAACCCACGGTTGGAGCTCCTCAATCTCCGAGGCTCCTCCAAGGACAACGGCCACTGCGCTGATGGGCGATAGGGGGACTGGAGTATACTTGGTTCTTGCCATCAAGGACGCAAGCTCTCCGCTGACCAGTGAACAGGGCTGACAGTCCTCAAGCAGCCGCCTATGGACGGAAACTGCTGTCTCTTCGAACGAGCCAAAGGAGTATATGTGACGGTCCCAGTCCTCGGGGTTTTCCCTCAGCGTGCGGGATCTAAAGTAAGTAGTGGATATCTTCAACCGGTGTCGCACGCCGACCGCAGTCAGGAAGTCTATCGGGTCAAGCTCCAGGACCTCTGTCCTGAACTTGTTGATCGTCTCACCTATTTCGCACCAAAGCATAATCTCCATGATACTGTATGTGAACAGGTTGGCCAAGCTCCGTTTAGCTTCGCAGATCTTGACACATACTAGAGGGTGAGGAAAACTGCGGGTTGGGCTCCAGGGCCATCTATATCACAACATTAGCATCAGAAGCCATCTATATGTCCAAACTCTAAACTTACCGAGAAAGAACATGAACAGGAACACCCAACTTCTCCGCGCAATGGAGATGCGCAAACTCCTTGTGGCAAGCCACAATCGCATCCGCGATGAACGGTTTCCCATCACTGGTAAACGGCGCAACGCACGCCCTCCATGAATCCTCCAGCATCGCATATACCGACTCCTTCCACCTTTCCCTCTCAGCCGGCCCGCGGGATTTGATCCATTCCTGGGCCCCAAACGCATCATAGTCACCGCATCCGCCTCCATATTGTCCTCCGTGTTGTTTACATCGGCCGCCCAGACTGAAGTACTCGAGCCTGCAACCCTCAACCTGCGCCTGGTAGTCCGGGTGCGTGGCAACCCTGATGCGATGGCCGAATTTGTCGCGCAGCCAGACGGCCACGGCGGTGAAGTGGCGCACGTCGTCTGCGAAACCGACGGCTAACATGACGATGTTTAGTCTTGTGCCTCGGCCTGAGGAGAGTTGCGGCTGCGGTTGCTGTTGCTGTTGCGGGTGAGATTGCGTGGGCGTCGGAGTGGCTGAGCGGGAGGCGGGTGCGTTCGTAGGGGTGGAAATCCCGGAAATGGAGGACTCGGGGGTTCTTGTTCCTGGTAAGGGTACGGGTACGTTGAGGCGCCTGTCAGGCGAGGTTCCTTGCTGTCGTGTGATGTTGAGTCGGACCTTGCCGTCGTTGCCGTACTAGAGCTTGAAGTCGAAGCCCATGCTGTCGAAGGAGAGGCGGGTGCGGGCGGCTTCGGCATCGATGCTCATCACTCTGGATTTGCCCTCGGCCGCTTCGCGAGCGAGAATGAGGGGTGATCTGGGACGTTGTGGGGGACGGTCTGGCCTGAGAAGTGACATTGCGAATGTTCTGAGGTTTCTAGGCGGTTGAAGATGTGCGTAGGTTGGGGTGAGAGGGGGTCGTAAATATGCTCGGGCTAGGAATGCGACGAACTGACGGTGGTGAAAGACGGTGGAATTAGCAACAAAGTATGAAGCATCTATCTGTAGGTCCCGTCCATCGTCACCTCCTCAGGGACAACTGGCGCTGGGCCAGCTGCCGGCCGCACCCGCCGTACCTTCCCTCCCGCCCCTTCATCCCATCTTCCACTTTAAACCCAAGCATATAAGGCACCCGGTTGGTCCCTCCTTCCAACAACCGCTTGGTCAGATGGCGCAGTGGTCTACTGTTCGAGTGTTCAACGGCTACTCACCATTACCTGTCCGGATCGGGAACGGTGCAGCGAAGTCACGTAAAGGTGTCGCCGTTCAACACCTAGTAGCCGGTCTACCTATATGGTACATGGGAACACTCCAGTCGACAGAAGAATTTAAAAATGGAATTAGAACGGATTACCATTGGTACCATCTGGACGAGCGGTTGTTGTTATTTTTTTTGCATCTTTTTTTTAGAGTGGTCTGGAAGAGGAGGCAGAGGTGGTGCGTTTGAATCGGGTGATGGTAATCTTTTTGGTTACTTTTCTGTATTCAATTGGAGGTCGATCGTGATATTAACATTCTGCTCGAGCTTACAACTACCCATTACAGCTTACCATTATGACAAAACCAGTCTCTCGTCTTTGTCCTGCTCACCTCAAACCCAAACTTAACAAACACTCCTATGAATACCCCCTCCCAGCCTCTTCTTCTCTTCCTTCTTCTTCTCCTCAGCTTTCCCCTTCTCTTCTCCCTTTTTCTCTCCCTTCTCCTCTCCCTTTTTCTCTCCCTTCTCCTCTCCCTTCTTCTCCTCCTTCTCCTTCTCCTCCTTCTGCTTCTTCTTATCCTGCTTCGTCACGGGCTTCCTCCGTCCACCCTGATTCCCTTGCAAGACACTCAAATCCACCTCGTCATTCTCCATCAGCGTCTCCGTAACCGACACCAAGTCCGTAACCAACCGATCGATCAGATCAAACGAGAACGACTCGCGAATCACCACGCGCAAAATCTCCGTCTGGTCCTCGTTGGGCGGCAAAGCGTAGTTGGGGATAATCCACTGCCGGGCACGCATCAAAAGGGAGACGGTCTCTTGTTTGACATGCGGGTATTCCTTCTTGAACTCGTCGGTGAAGCGGAACGAGACGACGGGGAGGCCGGGGGTGTAGTCAGCCGAGGTTTCTTCGCGGTCTTTATCTTTGGAAGCATCCTTTGAATCAGAAGCATGCGTTTTGGACTCTTCCTTCTCAGCCTTCTGGTCATTGTTTTCATTCCCAGAGCTCTGGTCATTCTTCTTGCTATCATCAGCGCCACTTAACCCAGCAGTCCCAGAAGCCTGCTTCTTCGGGGGCCGATGGATATCGCTAGCGCAGGTGTACCACCCCGTCGCCTCCAGCGCCTTTGAGAGCAGACGTGCGTTGGATAGACAGTTCTCCACCACTTCGCGGTAGCCCTTGAAGCCCAGGTGGATGAGGTTGTAGTACTGCACGATCACCTGCGCGCCAGGGCGCGAGAAGTTGAGCGTGTAGCTGTACTCGGTGCCGCCGAGGTAATGCAGCTCAAAAATCAGATGCTTGGGCAGGAAGGACTCGTCTCTCCAGACGATCCAGCCTACGCCGGGGGTGACCAGTCCGTACTTGTGGCCCGACACGTTGATGGACTTGACGCGGGGAAGCTCAAAGTTCCATTTCTGTCCGCCTGTCTTCGCATAGGTAAAAGGGGCGACAAAGCCGCCTGAGGCGGCGTCGACGTGGATGGGGATGTCGATGCCCGTTTTGGCCTCGAAGTCGTCGAGAATCTTGTGAATCTCTTCTACAGGCTCATAGTGGCCGGTGTAAGTGCTGCCCAAGATGATGAAGACGCCGATGGTGTTCTCGTCCAGGTTCTCCTTCACCAGTTCCGGGTCAAGGCAGTAATTGCTCTTGGCCGAGACGGGCAGGATGCGGGCCTCGACGTCGAAGTAACGGGCGAACTTCTCCAGGGCAACTTGCGCGTTGGCGCCCATGATGATGTTGGGCTTGTAGGCATCCTTGCCCTCGGCCCAGCGCTTCTCCTGCCAACGGCGCTTCATGGCCAAGCCGCCGAGGTGGACGGCCTCGGAGGAGCCGACGGTGGCGGTGCCGATGGCTTTCTCGCCCTTTTGGACTCCCCAGAGATGGGCGAGGATGCTGACGCAGCGGTCGCTGAAGGAGATCATGGCGGGATACTCGTCGTTGTCGGACATGTTCTTGCCCAGGTTTTCGACAAAGAGCTTCTGGGCGTTCTCCTCAATGTAGGTGTTGACGAAGCTGGCCATGTTGAGGTTCGGCCTGCCGTCTAGGTCCAGCTCGTCCCTGAGCATGGCGTAGACGGTGTCCCCTGGTGTGCCATCTTCGGGGATCTTGTACTTGGGAATGTCTTCCTGGCTGGCGTAGGAACTGGTGTAAGGTGTGAGATGATTCTGCTTCTGGCTACTGCTGCCCTTTTCTTGGAGCTTGATGTCCCTGAGGTGATGGACAATCTCCTCGGGATCAACCTACCGAGTATGTGTAAGTCAATAACTCGAGATAAAGGGTAGTGTTCAGGCTCAAACTGACGTGATGGCTTAAAGACATTGTGCGTGTAAGTGAAATGTGGGTCCTAGGAAGGAAGTCAAGTTGGTGTATGTTTGGTGGTTAAAGAGTGAATGCCGTCTTCCGAAAGCGCGTTTGCAGCCAAGAGATGTAGATGAACTAGAAGAGGGACTATTAGATGAACGAGAAGTGTTTAATATGGGTTAGTTTCCCAGTTCCGTGCGTTGAGAAACCATGGTCATTTTTTTGTAGGATCTTCTTGTTGCTGGACAGCGCACGCAGCCTATGACGACATGACTGGGGCTTTCTGAGCGCGCATTGGCAGCTGCAACCCCATCGAACATCTCTACCTACACAAAACTCGTACAATGGCCATCAAACCTGGAAGAGACCAAAGTCTTCTATAAAACGTTATTAATGGAAACCAGGCTTTGACATTCCGTTATTTAAGAGGGCCTAAAGGTCTTCGTAAGAGGTGGATATCCGATAAGCCTGGATGCAAGCGGATTCGTGAAGAGGAAGGAGGCCGGTCAGTCATTTTGTCCACAACTCTGGTATTCGATGGCATCACTGCAATGCTAACTGCCTGGATATCTTTTAAAACGACAAATTCTCTTTCCGACATCAAACACCTCATATCGGTATCCAACAAGATGGCCTCCTCAAGAACGCCTTCATAAAATCAATCGGTTGCCCACTGCTTCCTTGCTCAAAGCTTAGCACCCTGGGCACGTCTAGCCTCCCTATCCTTGTCCCTCAACAAGCGTCTCAAGATCTTTCCACTTGGGCTCTTGGGAATAGCATCAATGAACTCGATACCTCCCTTGAGCCACTTGTAGTGGGCCTTATGTTCCTGGACATGCTTCATAATCTCAGCTGCGATCTCCGCATCAGGCCGAGACGACATGGATGCGGGTGTGACAACAAAGGCCTTTGGCACTTCACCGTCACGGTTGTCGGGCACGGCGATGACAGCGCAGTCATCTACGGCGGGGTGGGCGAGGAGATGGGCCTCCAGCTCGGCGGGCGCAACTTGGTGTCCCTGAAAGAATCGCATGTCAGTACTTGCGAGAACGGAAGTGGCATGACCATTGTACGTACCTTGACCTTGATCAGCTCCTTCAGGCGGTCAACAATAGTGATATGTTCGTATCCCGCTGGCGACTTGGTAACAATGACCTCGTCTCCCGTCCGCATCCACCTTCCATCTTCGTCAAACACATACGCTTCGCTAGTGGCACGCTCGTTGTTGAGATACCCAAGAGTAACTGACGGCGACTGGACGAGAAGTTCACCGGGCACTCCGTACTCTGTGATCTCTCTCCCGTCCTGGTCGATCACCTTGGCCTTCGTTCCAGGGACCAGAGAGCCCGATGTGCCCTGCACAATATCATGCTCACTTGTCGTGCAGACAACAGTTGAAGTCTCCGTCAAGCCATATCCCTGGCCAACCTTCCACTTGGGGAACAGCTTGAGCAACTCGTCCTGCGTCTCCTTTCCGAGAGGGGCGGCACCCGTGAAGACTTGGCGGACACTGCTCAGGTCGAACTTCTTGAGAGTATCCCTGCTGCTCAACATACGAACGACGATGGGGGGTACAAGAGGGAGGTGGTTGATCTTGAACCTTTCAATGGCCTGAAGGAAGTCATTGAATTCGAACTTGGGTAGAATGATGAGCTCGTCGCCGCGCCATGTGGCAGAGTGAGCGACTACGACAAGGCCGTAGATATGGCTGAAGGGTAGCAACCCGAGCTCGACTTGTGTCTCGACACCATTTTTTTTGCGACCGACATCTTCAAAGATGCAGTATTGCATCGTATTGGCAATCACGTTCCTGTGGGAAATCATGACGGCCTTGGGAAGACCGGAGGTGCCGCTCGAGTAGCAGAGGAATGCGACTTGGCGGGCGCCTTGACCCTTGGTCCATTGAAGCGGCTCGAGGTCGGGTACAGAGCGGCCGAGCTCAACGAGGTCGTCGACGGTCTTGTATGGAAGCTTCTTGGCATGATGAGGGAGCTCCATGAGGAAGATCCTGTCTTGGGGAATTCCCACGGCCTTGGCGGCCTTCAGGGCGGTCTCTAGGACGGGTAGACATGTGAACAGGCACTTTGCGCCCGAAGAGCGAAGCTGGTGCTCGAGCTCACTAGCGTTGTATGCGACATTGGCGGGAGTTGCGATGCCAGACAAGCGGTGGACCGAGTGGAGCACAGAAACGTAGTCGATGGTGTTGAAAGAGAAGGCGCAGATGACCTTGTCCCAGGGCAAATCAGTGTTGGGCTCCCATCCCATGATCTTGTGGAGGGCCTTTGCGAGGAGCTCTGTTCTTTCAAAGGCCTGCTTCGCGGTATACGTCTTGCCGGTAAGACCACATGTCCAAGGGTTCCTGCTCTTGTCGATGGGACGGCGGCCATAGACTTCATTCTTCATAAATTCGCCAATGGTGACCGAGTCAGGAGGGTCTGTTGTTGTTGATGTTGTTAGTTGGAAAGCATGTCTAGAGGCGAAAAAGAGCCGGTAGTGAAATGGCTGGGCTGGAACGTACCGAAGGGGAGCTTGGGGGCCCAGGGAGGAGGATAGAAGACCATTTTGAAATAATTGTGAGTAGACTACGACGAGATGGTGTCTGTTTGGGAAGGACGACTCGGGAAAGCGAGAAGAGACTGAAGGAGGAAGAGAGGGGAGATTGGGGAAAGGAAAGAGAAAGAAAGAAAGAAAGAAGGAAGGAAAGAGAAAGAAAGAAAGAAAGAAGGAAGGAAAAAGGGAATCCATCGCGTCTTCTCCCCGCGCCCATTCCCCATCCATCAGTCGCCCTCCACCTCCACCAGTCCTGTTACCACCGAATCCTATCCGCCATCTCCCCGAGTCTTGGCCGCGGCTGGATGTCAATGGTCCACGATTGACCGGGCTTCTCCATTCACATTGATGCAGACGGAAGAGTGCTAACCAAACTCCGCACTGAACTTTCCGCCTCTAGGTACCGGATCCCCACTTCCCCACGTCAATTTCCCCAAGTCCTCGGCTATCAGAGTTTCAATCTGGGGAAACTAGTCCCACTCTTCCTCTTTCGTCCATATAGATGCTTTAGATGGAACTAAAGTCGCTACGGTATTATTTGCACTACACCATTCTACCAACAACGGCAATGGTCCCGTCTCACGATATCATCAACGCATTCCTGCCTTCTAGTTTCACAATGTCTGTTTTCGCTGCTTTGGCAAGACAAATCGAGAGGCTGAGAGAAGGGTGACAGTCACCGCATCTCTAACTGCCCCGCACGGCATCCATTATGCGGAGCTGTTAGTGGTCCACATAGTTCGGTTATTTGGAAAAGCGTCCGGGTCCAGTTCATCTCAACTCTTTCCTCCTGCATCAACCGGATTTTTTGTCACAACCCAACTCCACTGTCGGCCAGGCGCCGAGATTTCGATTTGAAATGCAAAGCCTCCGTATTGTTTGAGCACTTCCTCTCCCGAGATACCAATTCTCGGCGTGCCGATCAACATCATTCACAGCCGCCTCACATGTTTCGTCTGTGGGACTTTCGTTACGCGGCTGTGCTAGGATCGTAATATGTGGATGATGGGATGGAAGTTCACATTCGGACCATTGCCGTCCATCACCAAACGCTGTGCAACCCACTCTTTGAATTGTAAGCTTACATTTGATTATAGAGATAATAACCACATCCCGCGGTTAACCGTCACTTACCACCTTCCGTGGATTGGCAACGTCAATTCCGGGGAAAGGCACACATGTCAGCGTATCTAGGTCTAGGACGACGAGAGACGTGATATTCGTCACCAAGACTGAGGTTGCGGTACTCCAGATGTGTTAATCGGACTCATCACCGACTATGTCATATGGGCGAGGCCAAACCCCATGTCTTATGTGCAAATCTGTATTTCGTGGCGACGGACAATTGCACCGGCGAGAGTGATAAGAGATCAAGCTACAACTCTCAAGGCAATGGCGCTGATTCCCTTTGGAGGTTGCACTTTCCCTCTCAGCAATATCAGCAGTACGGCAATGTCAGCAGTATGTTCCTTCCTTGCGAATGATGAGACTTCTACCATTGCCCACCCGAGTGGGAAGGAGCGAACGCATCGATAATTTCCCTGCGACTTCCTGCTCGTCCCTTTCACGCCGCAAACTCGACCGAGGGTCGGAAGCAACCTCAGGGAGAAAAGTATTTTTTTCCCACGGGAGAATCTTTGAATTCGAGCACTCAACAGGAAAGCTCCCTGCCAAATGGGCCAGAATTTGAAGAGAGAAAGACAGAGCGACGCCAGCAACAACAACTTCTCTTCCCTCCCATCTTTCCAATCAAGAAAATTTCACCCAGAAACTCCCGAAATGGCGACGAAATTCACACCGATTAACCAGAGCCAGAAGTCTGCAGTTATCCGCCATGTTCCCTCCGGATCACAAGCAGTATCACCAGACTCGCCACCCATATCACCGCTTAGTCCGCCGCCGTCGTGGTTCAACGATGAAGATATGGAGTGTCCTCATACCCCGATCCGGAAGCAATCACCGCCCATGTCACCGTTTAGTCCGCCGCCGTCATGGTTCGACGATGAGGACATGGAATGCCCTCACAGTCCGATCATGATGCAGTCATCATCTCCGCTGGCTTCCCTCAGCAACTCGCTCCTAGTACGACTGGAGAGTAACCACATTGAACCTTCTTCACACTCACCATTTTTAGTGGGGCAAGCATTGGCACCTTCAACGCTCTTTTTCCCATATGTCTCGGCCCCTATTCTTCAGCAGGATGCCGGGCCAGCCACTCAAAAGCGTGGTTCAGAGGAGCTTGAAACAGCAGAAGTCGAGCGTGGCAAAAAGGCTGCTCGTCTTGAAGCTCACAAGACCCGGAAGACCCAGAAGACATCCACGCAAGACGAAGAAACCGGATTGTTGACTCCTGTCAGCAACGTCAGCGAAAGCGCGCAAAGCTCTACAACTCGCAGGACCGTCCGAGCAGGCAAACCGGAGATGTAGTCCAACCGAAGAAGCTGTTTGTGTGAGACACTGCCCATTTGCAAGCTGACCAAAGGAGCCTTCGTTCTCGCGATGACATTGCTTGTGGCTTCTTGGTGGATTTATGATGCAGTGATATGGGACGTCTTTGGAAGCCAAGTTATCACCTCATGGCTGTGAGTCTGCAGGATCACGTATATTATTTTCGTGTCACTAACTGATCGTTCCAAAACTTGGGTAGGCCGTGAAAGGGATACTCACCCAGGTTCTGAGATATTTGTTACGGACAAATAGCGGTCTAAAATACAATGGAAAGAAAGCTCTCTGCGACACTCCAAAACCGGCACCGCCGCCCTCTTGACGGCTTATCGTTTTCTGGTTATCCTATCCTAGTGCCGTCACCACGCGGTTGTCTTTGGGCTGACACATTTCGTTAGCTCCAAGGGACAAGGCGAGGGGAGGGGAGGGGAGCGAAGGAGGAGACAGGGAAAGGGGCTATCGACAGCCCAACCGGAATTGGGCACCTCCTTTGAGATAGTATCGTTTTCGAGAATCGGGCTGGGAGGCTTAGCCTGTTAGTCTGGCCTGTTGATTGCTTCCTCGAATTTCTTAACCGTTTATCCCACTTGGAGGTGTTGAAAGACAGGATGAAAGAGCATGGTATGAAAGCGGCCCGGTGTCGGTGATTTGGGTCGGGAAGCTCTGAAGACAAGTAGTCCAACAATTGAGGGTACAACTGCCCTCAACACAGTCAACACAGATACCGGTATTAGGCTTGAACTCACACTTGAGAATTTATAAGACTCAGTTAAAATGACCAGGCACCATTTGTAGCCGTTGCCGGCGAGAATCATCTCGTAGTATGTCGGCTGACAATGAGATACTAGACTCTATCTATGAGTCCCAGGTAGATTAAATGTGTTCTAGCTACTTTCCTTTCTATTAACAACCTCAGTGTATTATTTTCTCGGAACACACCGTCGTTACCACCCAAAAATAGTTGAATGCTGCTGTGTGAACTATGAATAGTGATAAGTGATAACACCGATAAGGTCAGTGATGTCATTGGTGCTTATCGGAGATCATGACCCACCGGGACGTCCGACCCCGCACCATTGCACCGTGCACCGCTCCGGTGGGGGACCGCCGCAGGGAAAGTGGAGTGCGAACCCGCGCGCTTACAAACGTGCGGGACGGAGCGGGGATCCGGCCGTGTTGACTTTGGGGCCAGAGTCTTGGCGAAAATGTTCCATTCTCTGCGATCGGCCTCGTCCCGTTCGGGAGCTCCAAATTATTCTTTTTCGGACGATCTTCTCTCCGCCCGCGCAGCATCCACCACCACCACCGAGTCACCGACGACCGACGCCGACAAGCTCCGGCCACAGCAACGACCACAGCTCAACCACCCCCTCCCCGACCCGATTCCTGACGAGCGGCTAGGTTTTGCTTTTTCCTCGACCAAAGCTTCAGTCACCCTCTTCCTCCCGCAGGTAGCTCGAAACAAGTCGACCGCAACCTCTTAACCATCATGACGCCCGCCGCCGCCGCAATGCGGATGCGCCTGGCCGCCCCTCTCCTCCGCCAGCGCGCCTCCCTCCTCCCTCCTTCCGTCCTATCCTACCGCAGCGCCCGCGCAATCCACTCTAGCCCACCCGAGCAAGCCAAAGTCGTCCCCCGTCCGGCACCGGCCCGCCCCCCGAGCCACCCAAGCCCGCCGCCGAGTTCGCCCCCTCCACCAGAGAGTCCGACCCTCCAACCCGCAACGGCGGCGCCATCCCCGAAATCCAAGAAGGCACCGCCGCCGACCCTTGGTCGCGCATCTCCCGCCGCAAGCGCCAAGCCGCCATGCTCCGCGCCGCCACGCTTCCCCCAACCGCCAGTTCCTCCTCCGGGCCCGGTGGCATCGGGCTCAAGCGCCGTTTCTGGAAATCCGTCACGGTGGTAACAAAAGACGACATGAACGAGATCCACCTCGACTCGCGCGCGCTGCGCCGTCCCGACACTAAATCCATCATCCGCCTACCTTTAACCAAACCCTCCCTGGCCTCGGCTCTGGCAATCGAATGGGACCAGCTCGTCTCTGCCCAACAAGCGACAAAGCAACACATGATCCCCCTGACCTCGCTAATCTGCCGCGCCCTCGACATCGCCGACGAAGACGCGCAAGGAAAGACTGCCATCCGCGATAGCATAGCCAAGGTCTTGCTGCGCTACCTCGACACCGACTCCCTCCTTTGCTGGGCGCCTGTGCCCCAGCACCCGGAAGATGGAAGGAACGACGCCGGGTATACCCTCAGGGAACTACAAGAGGAAGCATACTCCACCGTCGTCTCCTTCTTGACGACCCGCGTCTGGCCGGGCGTGACCATCGTCCCTGTGCTCGACGAGACAAGCATCATGCCGCGCCAGCAGGAGCCGGGCACGCGTGAGGTGGTGCAGGGGTGGATGTTGGGTCTTAGCGCGTGGGAGCTGGCGGCGCTGGAGAGGGCGGCGCTTGCGGGCAAGAGTCTTTTGATGGCGGCGAGGCTGGTGGTGGAGTGGAGCGGGGATGGCGGAAACGCTGTTGTGCAGACCCCTGAGGAGGAGGCGCTGAACAAAAAGAGGTGGGGAATCGAGGAGGCGGCGACGGCGGTTTCTTTGGAGGTGGATTGGCAGACAAACCAGTGGGGAGAGGTCGAGGATACGCATGATGTCGAGAAGGTCGATTTGAGGAGGCAGCTGGGTAGCGCGGTGTTGTTGTGTGCTGGGCAGGGGGCGACGGATGTTAGTGCCAACAAGGCGAAGCTATAGTATAGTTTTGGGTGCGAGTTCGTGGTTGGGTTGTATGGATAGGTTATACAAGTAGGTATAGGCTGGGGGTTGTGGTGATGGAGGCTGGCTGCGTGCGGTTTCTTGAGTATTGTATTAAAAGGTATTATTATTTGTTTAGCTGTGCTGTACATTGGTATTATTTCTGGTATATATAAAAGTGTGGAACTTGGTAAAACATACCTATGTTTGTACTATCGATTTTGCTTCCATACTGGACCTTGCTTGTGCTATATTTAAAATACTTGTCCGGGGGTCAAATCCAACATGAACCAAGCAAGCTCTGCCCCTTCTTTCTAACTGCTCTGAATGTCTGTTTGTCTGTCTGTCTGTCT